CCCCCCCCCTTTGTTCACGTTCCCTGCTGTGAACACATTCACATGAAACACGTGACACCTGTGTCACCTAAAATCAAGGTACTGCAAATACTGCAGTATGAAGTGTCGATGTACCCACTGGTAAACACCACTCACTAAAATAAATATATATATATATACATATATATATACACATACATATATATATATAAAAACAGAGCGAGAACTGACAAGCAGGGGGCAGCACTGCTTCAATTAAACACTGAATTTGCCACTGACTTTTGCATTATTATTATTATCATTATCATTATAATTATTATTATTATAATACTGATAATTGTGAACTTACATTGACATCTCAGAATTATTTTGCAGAAAACATGGGCTGCATTCCTCACGGAATCGTTTTTCCAAATATTGCATTTTTAATTTTTTTTAAAATAATATCCTTTTGCACATAGTTGTTTTTGTTGTTGAAATGCCACAAATGCCTCCTTATCTTGTAGATTATTTTAGGGAAAAACATCATTGGCTGTGCATTTGGGATTCATAATCTGGGATTAAAGCACAGAGATTTGAACCATAATAAAACCACAGATGATGGACAGGTGTCAGATTTTTGTTACTACATTAACAGATTTGACTGGAGCTCCTGGTTTTTTGTTTTTTTTTGTACGTAAAATCCATTAATGTACGTGTGTGAACGTCGCTGAGATTAACAGTAAAGGAATAAGAGCGCGGTCTGGTGTGTGTTTGAATATATGACAGCTTTGCACCACAGAAAGGCGGCTGGTGGAGGGGAGGAAGATGCAGATGGGCTGTCGGCGGGGGAGACAGGAGAGAGGGGTTGTTGAGAGGACACTGTTCTCACCTCAGTCTCCCGACTCGGGCGTTATTTCTCCTCCAGCTCTCTGTCACTCACCCCTGTAGTTCCAGCACCTCCCTCCTCCTCACCCCTGATCTCACGCTCCTTTTTCACCCGAGACTCTGCCACGTTTGTGTCCACGTTAGAACTGCATCTCTGAATCATCCAGTCTCCAGCCCACGCCTTCTTAGGTTTCTAAAATTAGTGGCATTTCTGGAGATGCCCACGTTCATCTGTGATGTCAGCAGCTCTTTGTTGTTGTTGTTGTTGTTGTTGTTGTTTATACCAGTCATTCTCCTTGTTGCTTGCTCATTCTGCGTCTCCTGTTTGGTTTTAACTGGTTTGAGTTTGCTGCATTAATCAGAGACGAAGATCAGTCGTCACAGGGTGGAGATGTGATATGAAGTGGTTCAGGAACTGGTTTGTTGAAGGGAGTTTAATCAGTTAGAGAGAAAATAAATCTGACCGCGTGTTTTTTTTCTTTCCACAGGTGATATTACACAGAAGGGCTACGAGAAGAAGAGGGCTAAACTTCTGGCTCCGTACATCGTCCAGTCTCCAGGTAAACAACAAAAAAAAAGTCATTTCACAAAATGTAATAAATGAAATCCATTTTTGCTCATCCTTTGAAGAGTTTTAATGGCGTACAGTTTAGACTGTTACAGTTTTATTTCCACTCCTGATGAACGCTGCCACATTGACTTCCTGTGAGCCAATAAAAAAATACCTTAGTTAATACTTTGTGCTGTGCTTTAATTTCTTTTTTGGAAATCAGTTTTTAGTCAGTGTGGAAGTGAAACTGTTCTCAGAAATCTCCTGAATTTCTCAGGACAAATACAAATATTTTACGCTTTGTTTTCAATACTTTCTACACATTCACTAAATTCATTCAAACGTCATATTTATTCTTACTGAATGCTGCCACCACCAGGGCAAGTTGGTCATGTTAATAAGGTTTTTGTTTTTCTTTTGTTTATTTTTTTTGACAGTTGAACCCCCGCCTCAGAATAATGTGCAGCCTCCACCGGCCAACTCCTCCTCCTCCTCCTCTTCCTCCTCCAGACATGCACCTGCACAGTCCAGCTCATCCCGGTACAGAGAACGACGCTCACGCAGAGCACACCGAGGAGGAGGGACCAGAGATGACCGTTACAGATCAGGTCAACAAGAACTTTATTTATAGAAAAAATAGACAAAAAAAAACAAAAACAACACCCCTGGTGGACAGACTGAGAGGTGTTTTTATTCAAGGAAAAGTGAACATTCTTACTTGAAACGTGGAATTTTTTAAATGAATATTCAAACAGTGAAACTCTACAGCAGTTCCAAAGATCTTATTACTACACGAGCTACAGAGGAAGGAAAGAAAAACTTCAATTATTCTCCAGTTATTTCCCCTCTGTCTAATTTCTTGCTAACTCCAGATGCTGATGTTCTGCTTCACGTTCCCCATAGAACGTCATCAAGAAGATGAACACAAGGAAGATATTAGTCCACAGTCTCAGATCTGGGAGTTACAGTCAAGTTAAAACACACGTGTTTTAATGTGTTGATGTGACGAACGTTCCGTTCGGCTCCTGTCTGACTGTGTGTCTGTAACATGCTGATCTTTTAATGTCCCTGAAGGCATCACTGAGTGACATCATTCCTGCAATAACTAATGACTAATGCCTTCATGATTTTTCTCTCACGTCTTCATTTATTATTTATTTGCGCTTTTATAGTTTACCTTCAGATACACAGGGCTACAGTTAGAGGTTTATTATCAACCACAAAACCAAACCCATGAAAGTCTACGGTGATAGAGAGATTTAACATTTACGATCAACTGTTTAGTTTGTTCCAAATGAATCTTGGCAGCTTTATTGGTGAATTTCTCATTCGTCCTTGTGCCTGTTTTTCTACAGCACTTAAAGAATTGTGACTTTTATTAAATTAAATTAAAAAACCTCTAACACAAAAACCATCTCCGTTGCCCATGCAGATGTCCACACTGAGGCCGTACAGGCCGCCCTGGCCAAACACAAGGAGGAGAAGATGGCGCTGCCCATGCCCACCAAGAGGCGCTCCACCTACGTCCAGTCTCCTATTCAAACCCGTACACCTCCAGGTAAAAGACAGAGGACGACGGTGCGGTCGTGTCAGACGTCCGTGGCGTTTTAATAAAGTTTAAGTTTCAGATCTTCCCTCCTCATTGTCTCTGTCTGTCTTTGTAGACTCCTCATCGGGCTCTGAAGACGAGACATCTGCACGCAGACAGTCTTCGGTGGTCGCTCCACAGTCTTTGGTCAGTCCCACCCTGCAGAGCCCGGACTCTGGCAACAGCCGCTCCACCCAGGGCTCCTCCACCTCCTCGTCGGCCTCTTCTACCCTGTCCCACGGAGACACTAAACCTCAGCCTCAGAGCCAAGCTCAGCCTCAGCCCCAGTACAAACCGCAGTATCATCCCCTCTATCAGCCTCAGTACCAACCACAGCCTCAGCAGCAGCAGCAGCAGCAGCAGCAGCCTCAGCAGCAGCACCAGCAGCCACCTCAGCAGCAGCAGCACCCTCCAGCAGCCTCACGCTGCAGCTGTGACTGACATGTTGGCGCAAGGTCGCATCGGTGAGACTCACATCACAGTGCTGAGCTTCAACTAATACTTTTTTTTCATCATCTTCTCAGAACACTTTATGGCTTTTTATAAACGCTACAAAATGTTCTCTGTTGCGTCTCGGCAGCCTCCTCAGAAAACAACGTCCCGCCCCCAGACGTCACAGCCGTGGCCCATGCAGCCAGAGGGCCCCGGGTCGACCTGCCGTCTACCGCCGTGGTCCGGGGTATGACCCGCGGGCAGAGCCGCTCGAGCATGATTGAGACAGCAGACGGTAAGTCCCTGTTGTGTCCGTGACTCTGGAGTACATCGTCAGACTCCTCCTTCAGACCGTGACGCTTCATTAATCTGACTTTTCTTCTTAATCTCTTCATTCCGTCTCTCATGTTTATTTCTCTGGCCAACACGGTAGGAAGAGGTAACCAGAGTAAGTCCATGTCCGTGCTGTTCTGCCCCCGATCCTCCTCCTGTTTCCAACGATAATGCACCAAAAAACAGAGCGCACACAAAACAAATCAATCCTCACGTGTGATCCTGAACCAAAGAACCAACACCACACTTCCTGTTTTTCCCTCTGTTCGCTGCACCTACTTCCTGTGTGCTGCCGCTCTTTATCCTCCAAACGTTTGTTCCCGTTAACGACAAGCTCATCTTTTGGGGGTTTGAAGAGCAGCAGACCCAGAAGGGAAAATGTCCGAGTTGTGTCTGTGTGTGAAGCCACTGTGTGTGATCGTGTCGTTGTCTGACTCCGACTTTACCTCGAATGTAGGAGTTCCTGTGAGCAGCAGAGTGTCCACTAAGATCCAGCAGCTTCTCATGACCCTGAAGAGGCCGAAGAGGCCGCCGCTCAGCGAGTTCTTCACTGACGACTCAGAAGAGATCGTGGAAGGTACGTCGCTGCGATCCCAATATTTTTCCGCTGCTGGTTTTCCTCAGGAATCCCAGCTGTGTTGGATATTTTTTCAGAGTCGATTGTGGTGAATATGATGTATTAAAACCGTGGTTCGAGGGAATGTTCATGTTCAGGTGTTCAGGGTTCATGCAGGTGAAAGTAGACGAACCAAATATCTCTGCAGTATTGTGTCATGTAGTAGTACTACTAATGTAGTATAATGTACTGTTCCTCCTCACAGTCCCTCGTCCAGACCCAAACATGCCCAAACCAGAGGGACGTCAGATCATTCCAGTCAAAGGAGAGCCTCTGGGAGTGGTCAGTAACTGGCCCCCAGCCTTACAGGCCGCCCTCGCCCGTTGGGGGGCCACTCATGGAAAGAGCCACCCCCCCACAGCACTCGACAGGCCGACCGCTCTATACGCTGACCTACGGTGAGATGGCGTTGAACCCAACATATGTTAGATATTTGTTTTCTTTCTTTTCCTATTATTATATTCTTAGTTACTAAATTTAACCGTGGCCTGAGAGTCTTCACAGAAATCACACCTTCTGTTTGACAGGGAAGCTGTGGAGTCGCAGTGTGAAGTTGGCGTACACCCTCCTGAACAAGCTGGGAGCTAAGAACGAGCAAATCCTCAAACCTGGAGACAGAGTGAGACGTGCAGCACGGAAATACAAAAAACATAGAAACCTGCAGTCGTTAACGTTGTCGTGTTCTTGATCAGAATTCAAATATTGGCCCATTTTTGTGACTTAACATAAGACAAATAATTGGCTGAAAAGTGAAAAGTGATTATTTCATCTAAACTTCATCTGAAGTGACGGTACATTTAATCCTTCATTAGTCAGACAAAAATGGGAAAATGTTAAATTAAATTCTTCACTGCACTCTGATATGAGTGTATTAAAAGAAAAATAAATTAAATAAGACAGATCACGGTACTTTGCGTTATGCAGTAAATGACAACGACAATTTTCAAAGTGTGTTCCAGTAACTATTCAGAAACACTCAGTGTCAAGTATCTCCCTCCGATCTCTGCTTCCATACCAACATATTTCCCTGTGTGTAATGTAACATTCTTGTCTGTAGGTGGCCCTGGTTTATCCCAACAGCGACCCTGGGATGTTCTGGGTGGCTTTCTACGGCTGCCTCCTGGCTGAAGTCATTCCTGTTCCTATTGAGGTGCCACTGTCTCGAAAGGTGAGAGCAGCGTTGAACTGACGCCAGAGAAGATTTAAAATCATTTCCTCTGCTTTGACCTGTGTCTGTGTGTGTCTGTGTGTGTGTTTAGGATGCAGGTATCAGCCAGGTGGGCTTCCTGCTCGGTAGCTGTGGTGTCGCTCTGGCTCTGACCAGTGAGATCTGTTTGAAGGGTCTCCCCAAGACTCCCACGGGGGAAATACTGCAATTCAAAGGTCGGCCACGCCTTCCTGTACTGCAGTACATTAACTAATGAGACTTTTTAAAGTTATTAAGATACAGAAAGAAAAATCAACTGTCCTCCGACACGTCTCTGTGACAGGCTGGCCTCGGATGAAGTGGGTCGTGACGGACTCCAAGTACCTGACCAAACCCTCTAAGGACTGGCAGCCTCACGTCCCCACTGCCAACACGGAGCCTGCGTATATTGAGGTACGAGAAACGTCTGTATGAAGGTGTAACAGTACGTTTTCTCCACAGTGAGTGAGAATTATTACAAGATCAAATATTTGGAGGTTTCCAAAGGTTTCTTCACAGTGAGGGGGAGATAGAGCAGGAACTGCCTATTATAGATATGAATTATAACATTGTGTTTTTGGTGACACTCTATTACATTAGTGGCCTCTTTGTTGAATTTTACATTCAACACCAGGTAATTCAAATACCACACAAGTGCATACAGTATATTCATGTTTGTATTTTAAATATATTTTAATAGGTATTTATATAATATTTCAATATAATAATATATATATTAATTTTCATGTGCCATAACACTACGTTCTATAAACACCTGACTAAACCAGTGTCAATTTAAAATTTTTAGCTACTATACTATACTATAGCTACTATATAAAAACTATATACAACTATATAAAAAAATATATTAAATATACTTTTTAAAAAATATTTAAAAAAAACTAATAAATCAAAAAATATATTCATAATCTTCTTATATCTTCTTATATCTTCTTAATTGTTTTATGCATCTAGAGGAATTCTTGTACTAAGGCCACATTATTACAGAGTGATTAGTGCTCCTGCCTTACAGCACAAAGGTCACTGTTTGATGCCTGGTGTCAGATGATGATGTTTCTGTGTGGAGTTCTCATGTTCTCACTGGTGTGTGTGAGGGTTTTCTCCACGGTTGCATGGTTTCCACAAACATGGAGAATATGTAGGTGTGAATGTGAGTGTGAATGTTGCAGGGCGTGACCCACCCTGACCAGGTCACGTCTGGGATTGACTCCAGCGCCACTTGTGACCCTAAAAAGAACTAAGATGTGGAAAATACATGACTGAAAAAATACATTTGAACTGATGATTTCTGTTTCTGTCCTGTACAGTACAAGGCCAGTAAGGAGGGCACGGTGGTGGGTGTGGCTGTGTCTAAAGTGGCCATGTTGACCCACTGTCAGGCCCTGACTCAGGCCTGCAACTACTGTGAAGGTGAGTGACACCTGCAGCTTCATCACCGATCGTCCCTCAGTCGGAGTCACTGCAGTGTTTTTCTTCACACCTCACAGGGGAAACGTTGGTGAACGTTCTGGACTTTAAGAAGGACATGGGTTTATGGCACGGTGTTCTCACGGTGAGCGTGTGTAGAAGAGGTGTTGGGGTTTGTTTTTAAACTAAATCTAAAAAACATTTTCTTTTTTTTTTCATTTATGGCAGTGTTTTTATACCACATTAAAACGATGGACAAAACTTTTGTTTCAAACAAGAAATTGCACATAATTTTCCCTTTTTACTGCAGTAAAGATTGTTTCTTTTTGCCATTGTTTATTTCCAGGCTGTGATGAACAGGATACACACCATCAGTGTTCCCTATGCAGTGATGAAGGCGTGTCCTCTCTCCTGGGTTCAGAGAGTTCACATCCACAAAGGTGAACTGCACTCACTGCCAAAAAACAGAATGTTAAACAAGTGCCAGAATTATTATGACAACATTTTTGTTGCAGCTCGTGCAGCTTTGGTGAAGTGTCGCGATCTGCACTGGGCCATGATGGCTCATCGGGACCAGAGAGACACCAGCCTGGCGTCCTTGCGTATGCTCATTGTGGCTGACGGTGCTAATCCCTGTAAGGACTTCACACATATAACAAATATATATTTGTTTCAGTTTGTACATACAGTACATGTATTTATGTGTTTTCATTCAATCCCCTCCTTCTCAGGGTCAGTGTCTTCCTGCGATGCCTTCCTGAACGTGTTTCAGTCCCACGGACTGAAGCCTGAGGTCATCTGTCCCTGTGCTACCTCACCTGAGGCCATGACAGTAGCTATACGGAGGTACGGGAGGATATCCATGATCTTTATGACATAGATCTATGTTTGTCTATGTTCGTGTTTCCATTCATGCTGATGAAATCCTTCCTTACTGCCATGTAGACCTGGCGTACCAGGTGCACCTCTCCCCGCCCGTGCCATTCTATCTATGGGAGGCCTGAGCTACGGTGTGATCAGGGTGAACACGGAGGACAAGAACTCCGCCCTGACTGTACAAGATGTGGGTCATGTGATGCCTGGAGGTGAGATTCGAGGAAGGAGACACACACGTGGAATGAAAAGCAGATACGTCTGGGTATTAGCCATGGGAAAAAAAAACTGACTGAAATGCAATAATTAGGTGTCTTATATCAGAAGGCTTACCGGGTGCCAGGAGAGTCAGATGAGTTGAGATTCCACTGGGAGTGGACCGGGACGGACAGGAATAGAAAAGAGCAGAAGGATTAGATCATTCAGAGGAGACAAAAAAAAAAGATTTTTCAGTTGTGGATCATTTATATCATTGTTTCTCAAAGACTGGGTCGTGACCCTCAGGTTGGTCGCAAGAGATTTTTTTTTTGGGATCGTCTCGCATCATGTTTCCCAGGAGTTTACAAATAATGTCTATTGACTTGGGTCGTGAAGGTTTGTGACTTTTAAAATTTGGGTCCCCAGAAAAAAAGGTTTGGGAAACACTGGTCTATAGTATCTGATACACGTTATTATTTGTAAGGAAGATTAGATCAGGGGTGTTAAACATATGGCCCGTGGGCCAAAAGCAGTCCATCAGGGGTGTTCAGTGCGGCCCGTTTGATGAAAGTGAAAAAATGCCCAAACACTGGATGTCGGTGGTCAAATATTTCATAAAATGTTTTTCTAATATATTTGTACATTAGCAGGAAAACAAAGGGTTAAAAACATGGACTTATTGTTATATGTAGGTAAAAGTATGTAAATATCGTACTGGTCTGGATCACATGACATCTAATTAGGCTGTACGTGGCCTCTGAACCAAAATTAGTTTGACACCTCTGGATTAGATGTTCATCGAAACAGTGGCTTGAAAATACACATTTTACTACGTTGCCATTGTATCGTAGTAATATAATTCATAACTGCGACGTGTGCTTTACTCTTTTCTTACTCGGCCTCTTCAGCTCTGATGTGCATCGTTAGGCCTGACGGGCCTCCTCAGCTGTGTAAAACTGATGAGATAGGAGAGATCGTCATCAACTCTCGGGCTGGAGGCAACATGTACTACGGCCTACCTGGACTCACCAAAAACACCTTTGAGGTAGGAGGGCAGGATTACAACCTCAGAGTAACCTGCAGTGACACAGGCTCAGAAAATGAAAACGTATATCACTGTCCTCTCTGTCTGTGGGTCATTTCCAGGTGATTCCGGTGAATTCTAATGGAGTTCCCATTGGAGAGATTCCATTTGTGCGCTCAGGCCTCCTGGGCTTTGTTGGTCCAGTAAGTAGGGCGGTTTTGTGACGACACACGGCCTGTGCTAATTCTTGCCTCCCTAGAAATCATTCATCTCTCTTGTAGTATTCCAAGGACATGAAATACTCTAAAATGTTTTCTTTTTACAGGGCAGTCTGGTCTTCGTGGTGGGTAAGATCGAGGGTCTCCTGATGGTGAGCGGACGCAGGCACAATGCGGACGACTTAGTGGCCACCGCTCTTGCTGTGGAGCCGGTCAAGACTGTTTACCGTGGAAGGTAAGAGGAATTGACTTTTGGAGGGCAGGATTACAACCTCAGAGTAACCTGCAGTGACACAGGCTCAGAAAATGAAAACGTACATCACCGTCCTCTCTGTCTGTGGGTCATTTCCAGGTGATTCCGGTGAATTCTAATGGAGTTCCCATTGGAGAGATTCCATTTGTGCGCTCAGGCCTCCTGGGCTTTGTTGGTCCAGTAAGTAGGGCGGTTTTGTGACGACACACGGCCTGTGCTAATTCTTGCCTCCCTAGAAATCATTCATCTCTCTTGTAGTATTCCAAGGACATGAAATACTCTAAAATGTTTTCTTTTTACAGGGCAGTCTGGTGTTCGTGGTGGGTAAGATCGAGGGTCTCCTGATGGTGAGCGGACGCAGGCACAATGCGGACGACTTAGTGGCCACCGCTCTTGCTGTGGAGCCGGTCAAGACTGTTTACCGTGGAAGGTAAGAGGAATTGACTTTTAAAAATTGAATTAATTTTATTTATTTTAACAAATACGCTGTTTAAAGAAAAACAATATACACTAATAAGAAGCTAATGCTAATGTTTGGTGTTAGCGCTTTGGTTTATTTCGAATGTTCCGCTCTGGAAGGTCGGTTTTTGCAATTGTAAGTCTCTACTGACATCTACTGGTAGCCAAAAATACAGCAGTCCCAAAATGATGTGAATGTTTTTTGATTTAGTGTCTGCAGAGGTGTTTTGGCCTTAAGTTTGTATCAAATGACCAATTCATTTTATTGATTTTTATATGAATTATAAATAACTCTATTTTAATGCCTTCTTTAGTAATTAGCAGGTTAACAATAGTTATATTTGTGTCCAAAGTAGTTCCATCAAGGCCTGATATAACCTGACCAGTCCAGTCGGTCAGGTTATATTTGTAGACCTTCTCAGACTGGACTGGTCAGGTTATATTTGTAGACCTTCTCACCCTCATAAAGCAGCGCAACATAATGTTTTTTCCATGTTTTTCAGGATTGCCGTTTTTTCGGTGACTGTGTTTTACGACGAGAGGGTTGTTATTGTGGCGGAGCAGAGGCCAGACGCCGGCGAGGAGGACAGCTTCCAGTGGATGAGTCGAGTGCTACAAGTAAAACATCTTTCAAATGTTTTTTTTTTCAACAAAATTTGTGTTTTTCTGATCATTTAGAATGTTTTCAAAATATAATATTTTTATTCTTCTCTTGTTCCCCTTCCACCCTTCAGGCCATTGATAGCATCCACCAATACCCTTCAGGCCATTGATAGCATCCACCAGGTCGGCCTCTACTGTCTGGCTCTGGTACCAGCCAACACTTTACCCAAAACTCCCCTCGGTGGCATCCACATCTCTGACACCAAGCACTTCTTCTTAGACGGCAGTCTGCACCCTTGCAACATCCTCATGTGTCCTCACACGTGTGTCACTAACTTACCCAAACCTCGGCAGAAACAGCCAGGTACATGTGCGCTAAAACTACATCTGTAAGATTTCAGCGATCCCTCTCACTTTATCTCATATGCATTTCCTTTTCTGTGCAGTTGGCGTGGGTCCTGCGTCCGTCTTGGTGGGCAACCTGGTGGCAGGGAAGAGGATTGCTCAGGCTGCAGGCAGGGAGCTCGGCATGATCGAAGACCAGGATCTCATCCGGAAGGTACAAAGACCAGTAACAATATATTACATTATATTAGACTAAAAAGAACATTTAAATGTACAGTTTGGAGCAATTTCCAAAAACAATAAATATTGTATGATAAATCGGAAGGGAATGGTGCTGTTTTTGCACTTGCTTATTTTGTAAGGCAAGAGAATAGGTGTTCCTTTTTTCCAATTTGGTTGATTTTGTTGGAGGTGTACAGCTCCAGAGATCAGTAAGGTTGTACCTCATCCAGCTGTATTATCACTCAGGTCATTTAACACATTAGCTTAAATTCTTCGAGCCATCGTTTGGTCTCCAAACTTGAATGTGTTACAGGATTAGACTCATCTTATAAAAATAAAACTACCAGTATCCTGTTTACTACACTTCCTGTACCTTCACATGACTCCAACATGAAGTGTTGCATGGTGAAGCCCAGCTCCTGTGTTAAAGTGTAAGAGCGGCAGAAGCTGAGTGGGTTCTGTAGATGTGGAGAAAAATATCTGGAATCTTCTCTCTTTCTCCTCCTGTTTCCACTTGGATGTAGCTCTGTATGTGGCCAACAGTGATGGTAAGAATTACTGTCTGCCCCGCGCCGGCATCTCTCCCACTCCTTTGTTTATTCTCATCATGGCTTTTCCCTGCAGTGTATTGTTGTTTTGTATTGTTTGCTTATGTAAAAGTAGCTGCAAGTCGAAGAGAAACTTGTGTTAGCAGCTCTGCACTTTCTGGAACTTCCTTTCCTTTCTTTTCTTTTCTTTATTTTTTGCTCCAGACAGAGCTTTCACAGCCTAAGTTATTGTTCATTATTCTGAAAGCTGCTTTGGCTTTGAGCACGTAGTTCAAATTGTTTGCACGTTGGCGAGAGATTGTTGAAGCCAGAGAGTGGTCTGCTGCGGTGTGCGGTCTTTGGGCCACACTTTATTTATTTTTGTTTTATTTCGGCGCAGGTGTGAATGGGTGTGAAAACAGTTCCCTCCATCAGCATAAACCCTGTCACATGTTCCCTCCATGTAGTTCTATTTAAGGTTGATGTGTGCACAGAACGCAGAGAAGACCAAGACTAATGACTGGTGTTTGTGTCGCAGCATCAGTATTTGACGGAGGCTCTACAGTGGAGGGCACAGACAGACCCAGACCACGTCCTCTTCGTTCTCCTCAATGCAAAGGTGACAAAACCACCACTACAAAAGTGATGTTCTGCTCCTGAAACGTTGAAACATTTTTTTCCTTTAATCCTCCCTGTTCCTCAGGGCGTGGCGACGAGCACGGCGTCCTGCGTCCAGCTCCATAAGCGAGCCGAGAAGATCGCTGCAGCTCTGACCGAAAAGGGAAGCATCAACACGGGAGAGAACGTGGTGCTGCTCTATCCTCCTGGTAACCCTCTTCCACACTGAGTGTTACTGCCACAGACATGAGTAAAAAAAAATCCATCTTTTTTAATCTGTTTTCAATCTCTGCCAGGCATTGATTTAATAGCTGCCTTCTACGGCTGTCTCTACGCTGGATGTGTTCCTGTGAATGTCAGACCTCCACACCCTCAGAACTTGGCAGCCACCCTGCCAACTGTCCGCATGATTATTGATGTAAGCAGAGCTGCTCGTGCTGCTAATATGTTCCTTACGTCTAATGTTAGCTTTAAAGAAAAAGAATTTGGTTTTGAAAATAGAATTTTCAACACTGATGGGTTGATTTTTCTTAAAGAAATATAATAAATGTCATGGGTTTTTTTTACAGGTCAGTAAAGCGGCATGTATTCTCACCACACAAAACCTCATGAGGATCCTTCGTTCCAAGGAGGCTGCTGCCTCCGTCAACATAAAAACCTGGCCAACGATCATCGACACAGGTAACTTAGAGCCATGCAGAAATTCAAGCTTTGTAGCAGAAGAATTAGCATCAACACATTACACTTAAATAAGAGTCAAGGTCTGTCTGGACCACAGACCACCTCGACTTCAGAGTTTGAACAACAAACTGAACTACTGTCAGGAAATTTGAGCTGTTCTTAAATAAATGAAAATAGTTGATTTCTTCATTCTCACTGTTCTATTTAAATTCATCTTTCTTCTCTGTTGATTCTCACTGTTCTATTTAAATTCATCTGAACAATGTTTAAAATGTTGTATTTACTGTGGCATTTGTCTTTGGTCTGGCTCGTTACTTATAATTAACTGTTTTAGGGTCACTCTTGAGAAAAAAAAAACATTTAACTAGGTTATAAAAAGAAAGAATTTGAAAGAATAAAATTAACTTGTTGACCCCTGCCCTCTTCCTGTCTCCTCTCAGACGACCTTCCTCGCCGTCGACCTCCGCACATCTATAAGCCGCCCACCGCAGAGATGATCGCCTACATAGACTTCAGTGTGTCCACCACAGGAATGCTCACAGGAGTCAAGGTGAGACACGTGTGACGCGGTTTTAATGTTTTGTGTTAGAGCGTGGTGCTAATAACGCCATGGTTGTGTGTGAACTACAATGACAAGTAGTTCACGTTTTGGTTTAGATTAAGGTACTAATGACGTCCATGTTTCCCTCTCTCTCTCTTTCTCTCTGTCTCTCTGTCTCAGCTCTCCCATGCTGCCGTCAGTGCACTCTGTCGCTCCATAAAACTGCAGTGTGAACTGTACTCTTCTCGCCAAATAGCCATCTGCCTGGATCCTTACTGTGGTCTGGGCTTTGTTTTATGGTGCCTTGCAAGGTATTGGCCAATAATCAACCACAAAAATAATGCACCTCCTGCTCAGGGAGATGGGGGGAAGGGGGGAGGGGGTTCACTCCTCACTCATGTGGTCTGGTGTCGTCTGTTTGTCTCCAGTGTTTACTCAGGTCACCAGTCCGTCCTCATCCCTCCCTTTGAGTTGGAGAGCTGCCTGTCACTGTGGCTGAGCACGCTCACTCAGTACCGCATCAGGGACACGTTCTGCTCCTACTCTGTCATGGAGCTCTGTACTAAAGGACTGGGCACTCAGACTGACATGCTCAAGGTAAGAACTGGAGCTTCACTAAGAATGTTCCAATCCAAGAGAAATTGGTAAAAAAAACTAAACTTACTTTTATCAGCAAATGGGCAACAGAAATGATTTGGTATCTTCACTGTCCAAAATTTCTTCTTGAAACATCTGTGTTACAGTCCTCAGCATTTTATTTGCGGTGGGCAAAAAAACTGTAGGTGCATTACCACCACCTACTGGACTGGAGTGTGTGCAACAGTGTTACCTGTGTGTCAAAACAGAGAACTGAAAAGATTAATTAGATTCATTAACTGAGCTGCAATGCTGCCATCTAGTGACTTTCACTTTCATATACAACCGTTTATCCCCAAAACTATTTTTAGGGCAAACATTCTGTTTTTACAGACATAATTATGCTAATATCGGACTGATAATCCCGGACATCCCTAGTTTAATTGTTTGTGTTTACATGTGTACGTTTCTGTGTCTCAGGCTCGTGGTGTGAACCTGTCGTGCGTGCGCAGCTGTGTGGTGTTAGCGGAGGAACGCCCCCGTCTGTCGCTCGCACACTCCTTTTCCAAGTTGTTCAAGGACGTTGGTCTGTCGCCCAGAGCCGTCAGCACTGCTTTTGGATCCAGAGTGAATATGGCCATCTGCCTGCAGGTAGAGTCACCACTACGGTCCGTCTGCACCTGGACATCAGCCACATGTGTAGTCTGACTGTGTGTGATTGTACTTTCTGTGACAGGGAACTACAGGTCCTGACCCGTGTACAGTCTACGTGGACATGAAATCTCTCCGTCATGACAGGTGAGCTGCTGAATCTGACATACGTGAAATCAGGAATTGACATTTTTGACAGACACTTCTAAAGATTTCTGTCCTGAGTCCATGCATGTTTTTTAACGTCAGCCTGTGTTCTTGCAGAGTCAGGCTGGTGGAGAGAGGAGCTCCACAAAGTCTTCCTCTAATGGAGTCCGGCAAGGTGAGAAGATCTGCATGTTTCAGAAATAAAGACCAAGAGTGTGTGAAATGTGCAGTCAAAGGATATCGATGGACAAATTGACAGTGTGTGTCAATATTGTTTTTAGATTCTCCCTGGTGTCCGGGTGATTATTGTCAACCCAGAGACCCGTGGGCCGCTCGGTGATTCTCATCTAGGAGAGGTGAACAGAAGTTTTCACATCCAAATAAAAAAAAAGGTTTTTTTACCTGAAATGAACTATAGAACCAGTTTGTTCTCCTGACTTTGTCACAGATCTGGGTGAACAGTCCTCACACTGCCAGCGGTTATTACACCATTTACGGAGAGGAGAGTCTTCAGGCAGATCACTTCAACACTAAGCTCAGCTTTGGAGATCCTGAGACTTTGTGGGCCAGAACAGGATTTTTAGGATTTGTGAAGAGGACTGAGCTGTTGGATGCCAGTGGAGGTAGATTTGAGATTTGTCAAATGTCTTATCGTAAATACACTATGGTATGAACATGAATTATTTCATGTTGTTTTGTGCCTCGGTGCTCAGATCGTCACGACGCCCTCTTTGTGGTGGGGTCACTGGATGAGACGCTGGAGCTACGAGGGCTTCGTTACCATCCCATTGACATTGAAACCTCGGTGTCCCGGGCCCACCGCAGTATTGCAGAGAGGTAACAATACTTCTGGAAATGTGATTTGTTATGTCCAAAAAAGAGAGGTCAGGTCAGGTCACACACTCCGTCTCCTCCTCCCTCTCCCTCCTCAGTGCTGTGTTTACATGGACCAACCTGTTGGTGGTGGTGTCGGAGCTGGGTGGCTCAGAGCAGGATGCACTTGACCTGGTGCCTCTGATAACCAATGTGGTACTGGAGGAGCACCACCTCATCGTGGGTGTGGTGGTCATCGTGGACCCTGGCGTTATACCCATCAACTCCAGGGGAGAGAAGCAACGCATGCACCTGCGGGACTCGTTTCTGGCCGATCAGCTGGACCCTATCTATGTTGCTTACAACATGTGATGCGTCGGTGTTCGGCGTTCACCGTCCACAGTGACATGAGACCCGTGCACTCTCATCCGAACATGTGACTCCTGGCTTGGCAGATAACGGGAGAAAAAAAAAAAGCATGGACACTGCCTCCCAGCTCTGCGTGACGCCGGCTCATCTGGTAACTGCATGTCTGTGACTGGATCAGCCGTGTCTGGAAATGTTCACTGTGTTTTATAGATAGAATTTTGAAAATGCCATTAAAGCAACAGGAAGTGCAATGGCTCAAAATGAACATCCTGTTGCTCTTCTGGGGGAAGTGAAGGGGTTAAATAACACGTGGACCAGGACCACTTTAATAAAGAACTTAATAATGTCTGTGAAAATCTATCCTAATCTGTACTCACCGCAAACCACTCTCTCCTTCGTGTTTACAGAGATTTCAAGAGCTACTAGAATAGACTGAATATAAAAAAAATATTTTTTACATGCAATTTCCAAACAAATGCACATAAAGCAGGTGCAGAGCCCTGGTTATTTTTACTTATGTTTAGAAATTAAAGAGGGCGCCAATCCATAGAAAAAGGCTGCATATTTCTGAATCAATCAGCTACGCTATTCCATAATGACGAAGCCAAATATGTTCCTTCTCTAATGCATTATCTTTCCTGCCTTATAAAAACTTCAGTCATATATTCCTGTGGCTGTTTGTTCTCCTTTCGACTAGTGGAGAAATTCCTGACAGATTTCCAAAGGGATCAAGTAAAAAAGAAAAAGAAACAGGTTCTATTGTGTACTGTATCTAAAGACCGCCTTGTATTTTAGATACTGTATTTTACTATACAGATATTTTTATTTGTATACATGTATAAAAGCCTACTTTATTTCTCTCAGTTGGTGGCGTGTTCAGGGCAGTTAACACTGAGGTGTGGTAACTGTAGCAGAAACAAATTTGTAAATAGGATTTGTTAGATTTGACGGTGCTCTGAAAGAGTGATTCCTTGTACAGTTGAGGTTCAGATCAATAATGTTAACAACGACAGTCAGGTTCGATATAACATTGCACTTTCCCCCAAAAATGTGTCTATTTTGTTATAACAATGAGGTATTAAACTGAATGGTTCAGGAACAGTTGATAATCTGACGTAGGTACTTTGCATGTAGGACAGTTAACCAGGAGGGCTACGGCTGTTTGTGCCAGAGCTTAATCAAATATTCATCTATTTTATAAATCATGAAAATTTATGCCCATCGCTGTTTTTTAATGTCATTGCGATTCAACATCTCACTGATATTCACGGCCCTCCTAGTTTTATAGCGTATCACAGATCAGGTGTTGGAGGGTTTGGCCGTTTGTGCCAACCGTTTGATGTTTGTGGAAAATCTTTGTAAAATCTTCCTTTGAATACCAACAGTGTCGTTGGTCCTGCGAGACTGTGGAGAAAAGTATTCACGTATTGTAGTTGTTTTGTTCGATCAGTCACTGGATTTCACGGCATTTGTTAAATGCAGTCGCGGAGCTGAGCCAAACCTGAAACATCTGTAATCGGCAAAACAATAACTGTTTAATATGACAATGGGTGAATTATTGCATCAGAAATGTTTGCGATGTGTGTTGTGTCATGCAATCGTGTGCTGTTCTGACACATTTTGCTATAACTGTAGATGTTGTTTGTCCAGTGATGAACTTTGATGTCACCATGTAAATATTTGATCGATATTTTCTGGCACTTGCCATTGTTCATTTAATGATCCATTGAATTACTGCACTTTGCACTGACGGTACTTGCATTGGGTTGACACCATACCATGTGAACTCCAGACTTAAGTGGTTGATTCAATCCCCCTCCACCCCCTCCCCGATCCCCATTTGATGTGTTCAAATATAACAATGCTAAAAAAAATATGATGCTTAACATTTGAGTTTTAATTCTACCGAGAAATACTAACAGCACTTGATCTTAGCTTTAACATTACATCATACTTGTGCAGCGGAATGTTTGCATGACTCGGCAAAGCACAAGAAGAAATTGGCTTGAGTTGCATTTCATTCAGATGCACAAGTGGGAGAAATATTGTATATTTATGTTTTTGTGTGTGTGTGAAAAATGTATATTCAGGGAACACGACTCCTAACACAGGGATAAACCAGCTGGTCCCCTAGTGCAGTCTGTGAATGCTAATTAAACATTATGGACATTTGTCATATTTCCTGTCCATAGGTGGCAGCACTTGCAAATGTAAAAAAAAAAAAAAAAGAAGAGCATTGACTGACGGACACTGTCTACCACCTTGGCTGGAAGTCTGCAGTGGCTTCCATTGGTTTGCAGTGGCTTCCATTGGTTTTTCTTCATGACAGACCTTACACACTATGCAATCCCAAAGACGGTGCAAGTCCAAACTTGTACACTCTGGTGAAATATACCTGCTTTTACATTTTATAATGACAATAATGACTGATACAGTTTAAACTGTCGAATTCTTTAGAGCCCAGTCCTCTCTCTTCGGTTGTTTTATTATATGCACTATTATCGTGTTGTATATTCAGTAGATACTAACCTGTATCATTTGGGTGTGTCCACTAATGACTCTGTAATACTACACTTGTTTTCACTTCCTTTAGTTACACACATAATGACACATCCTCTTTTACCATCAGACTTTGTCTTATTTTCTATTTCAGACTGTGGTGTTTCGTTTTTATAATAAATGTCAAAGTAATATAGAATAAACAGAACATTTAACCGTTAGTTGGTGTCTGTATATTTAAGTTTGGTAACAAGGAAAACTGATCAGAGAAATCAGGTTTTTATTGTCACGGAATGTATTTGAATCGTGTCTAAATTCATATTTGTTTCTTCATTTCACGTAGATCAGTTTCGTAGTACGTTTCTGCATGGAATGAGCAGAACAGTAAAAAATAACGGTCTCACAAAGAATTATGAGACCCACGGGCAAACGGCTGGCAGTGGTATCATAAAGAAAAAAATACTTTGAAGTCTTTCAACTCGTTCGAGGTAAACTGACATGTCGCGGGTGCCAACTGACGTAAACCTCCGACAACGAAAACAGCAACGACATAAGTGACGAGGAAACAAGGAACGGAGAGACAATCAAGAGGGAAACGAGAAAAGGTGACCAAGGCAGGAGTGTGACGCTACTTATACCAGATGTCAAGCCACGAAAAACATTCAGAACGAGTAAAGAAGGGAATGGTAATAGTGTTTATAAAAGGTTAAAGATGCCAACTAACGTTTAACAGATGACAAGTGTGTGTGTCGTAAAGAGAAATGCTGATTATTTAACATATTTTGAACACTTTTATAATGAACACTTTTATAAGTTTAAAAACACTAAACAATTACAACTTTACTCTGTGTACCTCTCCATCCACCAGTTGCTCAAACTCTCGGCCAATGGCGGAACCCGCAGAAAGTATTACGTAATGCTGTTCAAATAAGCCCCGCCTACTTCCTTTAGGGGAAAAAAGTGCTCAGCTATTTTTTTTTAGCTTACATCTAGGTATTTTTAGCTGTTAGCAGGACTTGCTAAGTTACTTTTCGAGTTTTCTTTTCTTTTTTTTTAACAACGTACACAAATTGGTCGAAGTCCACGCGGTGAACGAGAGCAGTTACGCGGCTTTTGGAAAGGTAAAACTGCGCTGGCGTAGCGCTGCTTTGCTGCTCGCCTTGCTGACTGTGGCGGTAATGGCGGCGGTTGCGCCGTCAAACTCCTCGCCGTTTTACGAAAAGGGAAGGTGTAGTTAGCTTAATGGCTCCCCGTATCGCTGACGTCTATTGACGCGGTAACTTTCCTGCCAGTGACAGAGTTGCATATATTTACCCTCTGAGACAAAAGGCCATGCATTCTGTGAACCAGTGTTGTGAAACTTAACTGCTTGTTGCTTCAA